AATTGGGGAATTCCCAGATAATTGAAAAATATTTTATATTTAATTTTTAAATACTAGGAATTACTGTAAAGTACTATCATACTATTATTCATTCATGTGGCGATATACATAATTTTAGTTTTTTCTAGCTATCTGTTTCATAGTAAAACATTATGACGTCATATGTCACGATTTCATCCAAATGATTGACATTTCAATAAAAGTTGAAATTGACTAGTCTGAAACTTCCATATCCTGTGGTCCTTTACCTTCTATATTATAAACTATTCTAGTTCTATTTCTAATTCTAAATTCTATTTTAAATCTAAAGTATACTAAATGATGAGGATTAGTGATGAATAAATTTTGAGACGGATATTTAAAGAGTACGAGTATTTACCGGTTTTCCCACGTTTTGTCCGTCTTGCTTCGGCCGTGGCCAGGAATGGACTGATGAGTGATGATAGCTCAGTGACGCCTGCGTGAAATGGGGGGACAGTCATATCTACCCTCACTGCTTCAGAATTTTGGGTCATGTTAATCTACAGCAACTACTAATTACCTTCAACTAATGAACTAATACCATGATTTTTACCAATCAGATGACCAAAACAATGTAGTGATTATCTAAAGTGAGTAGGAAGTATGAAATATGTTTAGAACATGTTGTAGTATCTCACCGGTGGTACGGAGTGGTGCTGCGCTTGCGGATGATGTGGCATAGCCCTGATAGGGTGAGGTGGTCGCTGCGGCGTGTGGTGCGGCGGCGGCACGCCCATGGCGCCCAGCCCGCCCAGCGCCTGGCCGTGCGCGCCCATAGCGCCGCCCGCCTGCGCCGGACCTAGCGGCACCCTTCACACCAAAACCCAGTCAGAATCGCGCACTATCATCACACTATACGTTAGTCAGTAAAGCAGTATAAGCACCACACAGCGCTGTAAACATCACGTTTTATTTTAACCGAAATTCGTAAAATAATCGAAAGTAACCGTCGCCACACCGGCCTCGGTGAAAGTGACCTGTGCAGCTCCACAGTTGGCGAGACACTGTTATTTCAACTGTCCAGTAGTCAATGGACGTGATATATTAGTCTGAGCGAAGAAAGGTCGGCTGGCATTCAAAACCTCGGTCCCCGCGCATCAATAGAGACGTCGTCATATGTTCCTTTGTCAGTTTCATCCCCAACAAGTTTACGCGACAAAGGGCGCCGCAGAAGACCCTCGACATATCAACAAATTACACAATATTTGCATATCAATACGGCCGCCACTCTTTTCTTGGATAAAGACAGTGTTATTTTATTAAATAGTGTCAAAGTTCGAGTAACCAACTCATATCCAGTTATTATTACTGCAAGTATCGTGTAACATGAACCTTCTGAGACTTTCAACACTTGATATTACTAAAGACTACCTTGAGAACGAATTAAACTCTACTGGTTATATTTTCAATCAATTTATGTTTAGGTGGGTATACACCATCTAAACATAAATGTCTGCAAGATTGCTATGAAGCAATTTTCCATTAGGTACTTATTGTATTATTAGTTGATAATAGATATTATTATTGGTGATGGGGCAGCAAAAGAATGATGGCTTACCGAAAATTTTAAATGCAACACAATTATTTGCAAACCACTAGTCTATGAAAATATGCTAATGATATTTTGTTAGTAGGCAGGTTTTAGTGTGAGTTACAGAATTATAAAATAAAAAACAAGAATTTCTCAAACGAAGTGTAAGTAGGAGTGTTTCTCAACTCTGTGAAAAAATGTAGCCAAACAAAAGCATTTAATCTTTTAATTGTGGTTATTAGTAAGACAATAGGTGTGCAAACGCCAGTGTTCGCTTGTATTTGATGAATTAAATAGTTACATACATCTAAATACCTTCTGTCAGCAATTTGCAAATTCGCCTATATTCCCAGAAAAAAAAATCAATCTGTTTTTCCAGACTATGAATTATCTCTATGCCAAATTTCAATCAAATTTAATATTATTACTATTTTTAATTTTTGGATCAAAGTGTATTTACATTTATAATAACTATCAGTAGTATAGTTATTGATAGATGGTCACAATAGCAATTATATTCCTTTGGAAATAATAATTTTAGAGCCAACAAATATTTGTTTTACTGACCACATGAAATATTTTTTTTTAATAATGTGGATAGTGAATGTATGTATGAACTTAACTGTCTGTTTAAAGTGCAACAATAAATGAAGTCAGTTAAAATTAACTGATAGTAGTTAAATTGAACAAAAGTGGTAAAAAGAAGTTAATTTTTTCGTTTAACAGGTCTAATCAAGCAAAACTAATTTAATTATATCATGATTTTGTATTAGTAACACCCTTTTTTGTGAGGAGAAAATCATCAAATGACTTATCCTCCTATGAGGAGGGAGTTTCAGACTCTTACTGACTAAAACCCCTCAGTTCCTTCCGTTGCTCTGGGCAGAGGTCGCTGTCTCATTGCACATACTCGCTGATTAGTAACACCAAATAATGTATGGAAATTGGCATTTTTGTATAAAAAAGTTGTGGATAAAATGTATAATATATGTCTATCGGTTTAGGTAATTAACTAAATGTCAACAATCTTAACAAGTCTTTTTATCAAAAAGTTGTTTACCTTAAGCCTTCAACCACTTAAACCGATAGACCATAATGGCTTTCCAGGCTTTGGAAAACAGGCCCAAAACTGATGTATGAGTGGAATCGTCATCTTTTTACTTTTATATAAACATTTTCTTCTTATGAATGCACAGACTTTTAAGGTGAAAGGTAAAGTGACACCAAAGAAAACAAATCAGAATCCATCAGCTGTTTTCTAATCACATAACATGTGTGATGTTATTACTGAAAATGTTGGTTTATGAATTCTTTCTAGTTTCATTGCTCAAGATTACTACAATATTTTTATTTACATTACAAATAAAGAAATCTGCATCATTATGCAGAATAATATTAGTGCCATTAACCACACTCATAAATGTGAAAGTGTTTGGCATAAAAATCTAAATTGAATATTCAATACAAATATCTTGTATCCACTGCTTGGCACTAACAGGTAATCATTTAACAAATCAGATTGTAATTTATTTGTTTGTGCATTGTTACTTACTGATCCAGATACAATAATTATCAGTAGACATAGGTTATATACAAGTTTTGACAGAAAACTTCTAAATATACATCACAGGTCAATTGTCACATACTCAGAAAATATATGGTAACAACTGCAGGTTATCAACACTTTAATTCAATCGGAGGTACTAATATGTTCAACTATTTTGACCTATTTAGATTGCGTGCGATTTACGACTCTCGGTCTGATACTGTTAGGACAAAGCGGCTTACGTTCATTTGTTATAACTAACGATCTGTGATATGATTGTGTGTACAGCGATATCTGGGCGCGAAGCATTACAAACAAATAAAATAATGAAAAGCCGAACGGTACTCTACCTAGTTAGTGTTACGTGCCTGTTCTCTCTGTGCATCTGATGTGGGGCCATCTGATGGTGCGCGGGCATTCCTTGGTGCCCACCCATGTGCTGCGGCGGGTGCCCCGAGATCGGCTGATGATGCATGTTCGGGTGATGCATCATCTTCACAGACCACTGTCGTTGTGACACAAACAAACTATAAATATCGCGAACTACCACCAAATAAACACCGCCAATTTCTAATGTCAATTACAACGTATCACACTGAATTTCTTACCCTTACTATATGTCACCAACAAATCAGTCTCTTGGCTATGCAATCTACATAAATCCGCTCACTATTTACGACTATTTCAGTTTATTTTGGCAAACAGTAAAGAAAATCGTTTCGTTCAACATGCGGCCATGTTAAAAATGTTGCCATTTGTTCGAATGACAATTCAAATACCTACCTATATTTTTAAATAAAATTGTTGTAATGGGTCTGTTTATTATTTTTACTGAAATTAAAATAAATTGCAGTATAAATAAATAATACTTGTTAAATTACTATTATACACATTTATGTTAATTTTTTATTGCCACTCAAAATTGCGCTAATCGACTCTTGACAAAGATCTTATATCTTTGTGTCTTGATCAAAAATGGACACATTTTTTCTTCCTTATTTGTATAGTTTGTTTATGCACCTTCCCTGGTAGCTGGAATGAATAATTAGAACTTAGAACATTATACGGTTATAATCACATAAAAAGAATAGAATTTTTCAGGTACATTTGTTACACACTAATGAGACACGAGGATGTTATTGCAACCGAAAACCAACGATACTATTTAGAAATTTATTGTTTTTTTTTATATCTGGAATACCTACATCGTAAAATTGTTGAACATACATTGATTTTAGAATTATGGATGAGTTAGATAAGTCTAGATAAGTTTTCAAATATTATTAGATAGTGTCTACTAAATATCGCCGATTCCACCCTGATACCTAATTAAAGAATTCTCTCTGCTAATTTGTAAATTGGGAATGATAATAAAATGCTCCCTTATGACGACCCACTGACCAAAAAATTTATTTTGGCATTATATGAATAAAATATTATGTACTGCTATTAGGAATAAATATATTCAAAAAGACTATTGGTACGTATTCCAGTATTTGACATGTTATAAAAATACGAGGTCAGTTCAGGTTACAATACTTGTCTTTCACAGCATTATCACTTACGTGCATATAGCAATCGGATCGCCCATGTACAGTCGCAACAAAAACGGACTTGCGAGTGCGTTGCCGGTCTTTTGGGGGTTAGGTATTCGAGGATTGGCAATCTGGGTATTGGGGATGGAGGCAGAGCGACGAAATGGCGTCTGGTAACCTCATTTACGGTAAAACACCTTGTAGTAGTTTCCTGTCGCTTTTCTAAGACACTGAGGTACCAACACGATGGAGCCGGCGATTCAATTCTTGGCGGAGCATTGCTTTCCGCGACACTTAGTCCCACAATTATTTGTATATTTAGTATGTATAATTCGCGATTAGGAAGTTTCTTCCAATTACAAAGGCCAGAACAGTTAAAAAGACAATTTCCAAAAAACAGTAGTTTAATTTATTGACTTATTACTTACATTGATTAAAAAAAAGTAACTTATAATTCTGTTTGACAAATGTAAAGAAAAACAACGGACATAAAGTGGAAGTAATCTTCATCATTATTGATTTGCACATCGGTTAGATTAGAGTACGCAGGCTCTTCAATTTCTTGCAGAGAACTATCTAGACTTTCGTCGCTGTCTCTTGTAGTTTCAGCCCAAGATACTCGCTTCGAACTTCGGGAAGTTTCCTTTTTCTTATCCGATGTCGGTGTCGAGTGCGACACAGGTGATGGCGGACCCTTAGTTGGTGTTTGAGCGCACTTGTCCAGGTAATGCTTACGGAGTATGTATTCGCGCATCGAGTCGTGTGCTACACGTTTTGGAGGTGGCGGCGGAGGGAGTGACCTGTCGGCATCAGTATCACAAACGAGAGCATTTCCCTCTTTCCTTGCTTCTTCAATGCGTTTTATTTCTTCTTCATTGGGGGCCAGCGGCCAGGCGCCGAGCTTGTTGCGCACTAAGTGAGGTCGCGCGTGCGCCGCGCACAATATGCGCTTGCGCACGAAGTCATGAAACATGGTCAACTCTGAGCTTAGTTCGCGACGAATAAGTTGTTTATGGCGGCTGGGTACACTAGGGTCACGTACGGCGAGTAATGCCTAGAAAAATAAAGAGCGAGTTAAGTTTTGAAATTTTATACGACATGAAATATGAATCTTCGTAGTGATAAGAACAATAGTATACCTGCGAGGCCAGCAGCGTGGCGGTGGCGTCGAGCGCGCCGGCGACGAGTCGCTCGTCGAGCGCGGGCAGGCTGGCGGCCGACGAGATGGAGGTGAGGGACTCGCTGCGGTTGGCGCGGCGCTCGCCCGGCGCCGGGCTGCCGCACGAACACGCGCGCCGCCGCAGCCGCGGGGACCGCGACCCACTGCCCTCCTCCGAGTGATACGCCTGTATACAAAGCTGTCATCTCAATAACTAGTTACTGGGCAAGTTTCTTCTTCTTCTACATTCTTAATAAAACTTTCGAAATTTATTATTTTTTGATATTAGACAAATAACAAATTTTGCGATGAGGATAAAAGTTAGTGTACTAACATTGACACATTATCCACACTAAAGAGATACCTAACTAAAGAATACTCACATGATTAAGAGATCTTGTCAACAGACAGATAGCCGACACCAAAGTACCGAACGTAAGTTGGGGGAATGGTTCGTAAGAGATCTTGGGTGCTCCGAAGTGTAGTTCGACGAGGGGCTGCCAGCGCTCCAAGTCTAGGCCAGGGTCGGCCAGGAGAGATAGCAATTCTGGGCTGAATGACAGCAGGCAGAGTGTTGCCATGTGCAAAATTTCAAGAGTTCTGTAGAAAAGGAAAAGTATTGGTTACTTCTAGTTATTTTTACGTCATAAATCATAAATTTCATATTGTTTACCTGTGTAGCACGTTAGGAGCATAACTTTGACCATCTTCAGGTGGAGGCAGAGCAGGGTCAGTAGATCTACGTGATCGCATCATTAAAGTTACACACTGGTACAGGCAGGCACTTATACTTCGCTGTAATTTGAATAATAAATTGTATGTATTAAAATTAAATTTATTCGTTATGAAAATCAAATAAGCATATTATAAATCTGTCTCAGTTCTCCCTTACCATAATGCCTGTCAATGAAGTAATGTTCTGTATTCGCCACCTCGCCTCGAATTCAACGAGTTGCACAACCAGGTTGAGTGTAGAAGCGCACAGGTTCAGAGCATCTATGTTAAACACTTGTCGTGGTAGGAGAACGGCTTCAATCAGATGTTCTAAGTGCACACCCACAAACGTTATCGCATCACTAGCGAAGAACTGACCGTGCTTCATCACCATCATGGAAATAAAATCTAAACTGAAGGCGTACACACGCCACCACTCCTGCGGCTTCCATGCTGAACCATCAAACTTCGGAGGCAACAACTGCAGCCAAAGGAACTGATCTACATCACTCATAAGCAAATCTTTAGAAAATGGTCCCCTAGCATACGCGGTTAAGCAACGTAAGGCAGCGAGTGACGTATGATAGTGACGTCTGTTCTGCAAACATGTTTGAAGACAACAAAGTATTTTATTGATGAACCGGCTCGACTGGAACCACTGCGACAGTCCCGTGAACATGTCGTCGTACAAGTCTAAGCACTGCTCTAACATCGCCAGTGACAACACTACGGGTGGAATGTTTTCGTTCACTGGGTGACCGTTCGCTTTCGGCTCCGGTGGCTTAGGGTCCTCTTTGATATCATCTAGCAGCTTTTCAAGCTCCAAACTATTAATATTCGTCACAGATCGAATGATACTCTGCGCAGTGACACTATTAGCTTTAATCTCATAATCCAAACTGCTTATCGCGACCGTGCATATTGAAAGAATTGCGCGAATCGCACGAGGGTGCAGACATTCGTAGACAATAGCTGTATTGGTCAGCAAACTGTCAACTTGTTTGGCACTAGATTTTCTGTTATCGAAGCAGTCGTCTTTCCAGTTAGCGAGCATGATTACGTACAGCTCAGCAAGTATGACGACCAGTCTACCGTCCTTCAAGTCATCTAATTCATTCAATAAGGCACTCATGCACGGCGCGACCATCTTTGCCTTGTGTGCTATGTTTAAGCTAATGGGAAGACACTTGCAGAATATTGTGATGAAATCTTTCCACGAGGTTAACAGACTGAGCCAGACCGGCACTTTGTCCACTACTTCCTCACTATCATTCCTGCCATTAAAAGAGAATATGTAATCAATCCATCTGTCTAAATGCTTTTTGTTCGTGTCAAAGAGTTGTTCTAACATTTCTTTGAGATTGGGCTCAAGTTTGTCCCTGGAGACAAAGAGCTCTATACCAAGAACGTTGAATATTTGCGAATATGTTCTAAGACCTGGCTGTACGTCACTGAATAACGGACTGGTCATGTGTTCCCAGAACTTTGGGTTCTCGCGCAGTTTCTTTACAAGTATTTGCATGTTGTTTTTCCATAGTGCATGGAACAGTGCCATGATGCATGAAAGCAAGGGACTGTGAAGTAATTTGGGGTTCTGAAATAAAGAAGAAAATAGTAATAAATAATGTTAACATGAAATGTTGTATTAAATTGCCTTTACTGAAATAACAGTTTCAAATGAAAGATGCAAGATACTTACATTCTTCACAGTTCCAAGATAATCAGCCATATAACCTAGAATGCCTTCAAAACTATCATCTGTTTCGGGTTTCTTGTCAGTTGTAGTTTTCTTGTCTTTATCATCATCTGTGTCCATCTTATTTTCATGGTTCATCATGAAGAAAGCCTCAGTAAGTCCGGGCTGGGTGCCAACACAAGTGGCCACGAATTCCAATATGGCTACCTTCAGCTCAGTCGTTTCGTACTCATCACGAAGTCGGTCGAGGAACATCACTCGCACTTGATACGCAGTCATATCTAATGACGCGAATAAAGACATTTGGAAACGCTGAAATTTAAATATAGATTCTTCAGATAACATCAAAAAGTTGAAACATAGTTTTTCTTTTCTATTACATAAAAGGTGATAATTTTATTATATATTTATATTAGCGAGATCATGCCACTATAAATCTTAGTAGTAAAAAAATTAAGCATAAATTAACTCACATCAGCGAAACTCTTGAGCAACCGGCAGCAGAGGACAGGTAGACTCTTATTGAATGCATGGTTGATGTAACTGGTTACTCTAGGCACTACTTTCAACGAGTCTTTTTGCTTATTTTGAGCAAAGATGAGGTGTTCCAACGGAGTCACCTCCGTAGCTTCCGTGACCAAAGGTTTGAGACGCAAGGCAAATAAGACAATAGCTACACATCTCTGTATGGTCGATATGTATTGAGATCCATTACCCGCTATCCAGTTTGTTTCGTTCCTTATTACATTTTCTAGTTGATCATTACCTGTAGATTAATATAACACTTATGATAGGAATGTCCAGTTTTTTGCTTGAAAATTACGTCTAATATTTTTATTATACTAAACTTTTGCCCGCGACTTTGTTCGCGTGGAATAGTGAATTCCTGCAGATTTGGTTTAAAAATTATCCTATGTCCTTTTTCGAGTTCCAAATTATGTGTGTACCAAATTTCAAAGAAATAGGTTCAGTAGTTAAGGCTTGAAGAAAAGGCAGACAGACAGAGTTACATTCACATTTATAATATTAGCTCGGAATTGTTAATCTGCAAAGTTTGTATGTTTCAAGAAAAATGTTTTCAATATTATACATACCAACAGAAATGAACTTTAGTAATTCGAGGGCATTTTCCGTATGCAACAAACTGTAAACGCAAGTCTGTTTGAGCAACGCGTGACACGGTTTGCTGCTCTTCGTATCTTGCAAGACGAGCGTTAAGAACTGCGCGCAACGCTGTATCATGTCTCGCCGCTCTCGAGTATTGCTGTAGCGCCAGCCGTAGATATTGGGAAACACTTCGCGAAGGATCAGTATTAGACCAGGGAGAATTATTTCCGTCGTTATACGATCATCACTTGCAGATTGCTGGAATATTATAAATATTTAAAATGTTTGAGCTTCACAAATTTCATAAAATTTCTTTGTTTAAAATTTCTGGGTAGACCATGCTTATATTTAAAGAACAAATATTATTTTATATTAATATACCTCATGGAAGGCACAAAGCAGATCAATGTATGCTCCTAAGAATGTGTATGTCCCACTCAGTTGTTCTATTGTCACCAAATAAGAGCCAACGGCAGCCGAGTCAAATGACGCACCATTAGCATACTCTATGTGAGACAATTTGTGGTTCATCAGGCGTGGTAACAGTCCAGTATTTATCAGTCTGAAACATTTCAAGTCATATACTTAATGAATTACCAATCAATTTCATTAATTTATGACAGACTTTTAGGATGATTTTGTACCTCAAATGTATTTCCTTAGGAAAAACTGGAACTAGGGCAGTACAAACGGCAAGGCACTCTACTAACAGCGCCAAAGGTGGCGCATCGGCTCTCATGAACCTCACCAGTACATCAAACACTCCTTCACTAGGTCCTACTAAACTCTTCGGTATCTCACGATCCTCGACTAATGCCTGCAGCACTCCCTTCAACACTTTTGTACCCTGATAAATCCTTTCCAACGTAACATTGACGTTATTTTGGTGATGTTGCTTCCTATCAAGTGCTTTCTCAATCTCACTGTTGAATACTGTCCAGTAAGAATACGGCGTTCTGAAATGGATCATTGTGGCTTCCTTTCGTTCCATAAGTGTGGCTGTAGAGCCCATTTCGATGCGATAGGACGGGTTGCCTAGAGGAAAATATTCGCGGCCTATGATCGCGTCATCACCTTGTAGTGACATAACGGGAACTGCGTTGGGATTGTAGATTTCAGTGAAGACTGGGAGATTCGTTAGTTCTGATAACAGCTGTGTACAATAAATATGGAATGAAACATTTTGCACATTATTCGAGAAAAAGTAATAAAGAATAAAAGAAATATATACTCACATTCATTACACTACATTTCCCTCCCTGAGCTAGTCCACTAGATAAGATAGACAGAGCATTAAAATTGAAGGGGAAATATTCTAGTGCAGTATTCCACAGAGATACTACACCATAGTTATCATCCCTCTTGTGAAGTTTCCAGAACTGACAGTTAATCTCTGGAGAAGAGAGCAGGTGGGCACAGAGTTGCATGATTCCCGCTTGATGGCTGAGGGTACCATCTCCATCGAATTTATCACACAAGTCGTTCAAAAGTCGAAAAACTCTTTGTCGGGCGATGAGAGCGCATTTTGATTGGTCCTATGCAAAAAAAATGTATGAATGCTTATAAATGCAAACATAATTTGAATAATTAAGCAATTGTTTGATATACTTACAGAAAAGCCAGAGCTATTTAACATCTGCAGTAGGAATTCAAAAACTTGCATTCTCAGTGCTGAGGCTCCATAATGTTGATATTGACTCTCAAATAATTTTACATGCTGGTCACTCTGCAATATCCAATGTATTATTATTATAAGATTAAATTACTTAGTTTTTACTCCAATGTATTGAGTTTTATAATGAAACATTTTTTTAAATATCAATTAGATTGCCCCTCAAGTTGAAGTTTTACTTTAAAAATATAAAATAAATAGAAAATTGCTCATAGTTATTAAATATGTTGTAGTATTACTGATTTACGTTAATTTTTCTCAGCCAATATTGAAGTTATTGAGCTATTTTTAGCAGTTGATGTCTAGTGGCTGATTTGATGATGTTTGCCTAAATACTTCGAGTTATTGCTTTAAATGGTCACTGTTTTTCAACCCACCTGAAGTGTGAGCATCATCCAAGTGATGAGCATTGCACTGTGTTCCGCATTCATATGAAGTTTGGTGAGCTCACCTTCCACAACCTCTTTAGTATTGTCAATCCACGCTGACAAGTTGTTGCTGTGATAACAATAAAAAAAAACTATAACTCAGTTGTCAATAACATGCGCAAAATTGGATATCTATAACAAGACAATATTCATTATTATTTTTATTTAAATATGCTTACATTTTGATGCCATCTGCAATAACCATGAATAAACAAACTTCCATATACATTATCCTCATACATGGCTCTCTATGTCTCTCCTCCATGAGCTCACTGTAACCCTGGTTCTTGCCAAATCCATGTTTTCTAAATAATGTAAACAACTTGTTGAATTCTGTTTCTGTAAATATTTCTTCTTCAGCAATTTGAAGAAGAATCTGTAAGATAGCTAACTGTTCTCTCATATTACAATCAGCCCATTCCTGTCTAATATTCTCATTAGAAAAGTCCTTTTGCATTCTCCTTTGTGGAGGTGCAGTGTTCAACAGTTTATCAAACTGTGATATCAATGATGTTTTCAAGTTTTGCATCCCTATATCCTTTATTATTTTCTTAAATTGTTCATTATATATGTGCTGAGGATCATCTTTAAACTGAACTATGTATTGTAGTAACTTAAGAAGGAACAGTCTCTCAGCATAGTAAAAGTTCCACACATTGGGCAATAGAAAGACAGGCCTCGTATCTACAAATGCTACATTTTTGAGGGCGTTTGTTGGGGTCCCATATGATATATCACACAAATAATTCTTCATAATTTCCCATATTTGAAAACAGTCCACATCCTGTAAACACGATTTGTTGGTTTAATAAAACAAACAAGTTTTAATTACTATACGATTAAATTAGTGTAATTAATGTACAAGATCACTTACGATGTAGTTTTGCAAGGTTTGGATCACACTTAATAGTTTAGTTTGATCTGCATGTTTGGTTTGAAGTTGAGGAAAACTGTCAGCTTTGTGTGGCTTATAACTACCAAGACCCTGTTTCAGGTTTTCCACAACATCTTTATTCCCTAGTACAGAAGTTAACTCTTCATTTGATAACGACTCCGATGTGGTCCAACGCCACAATCGTTTCCAATAGCTGTAAAATTGTCATTATATAAATATAAAAAATTAATAATATCGTGAATGAAAACTGTAAGAATACGCACCATATACCAGTTGTGGTCATGATTGTAAATTTTACTGCCTGCAAGGACAATCACCACGATTTATAATTAATTTTGTTGTAATATTATTTACCGCCGTAGCATTTTAGGTTACAAATTAACAATAGCAAACCGTCACTCGTCGTCCGTCAGTCAGTTTTGACTTTGACAATTACAGATTATACAGTTTAGCCTACAGTGCATAAAAACCAAATTAACTTCAACACAAAAATTATAAAACTTAATTTATTATGTAAGTTTTAGTGTAGATAAGTATCATTTCAATATAATTGAAGAGCTTAATCTGTTGATATATTTGTGAAGTTCCCTGGAATATTTTTTACATGTTTGATCAGACTATAACCAAAGTGGGACTAACTTTAATTTTTCGTCATTGGACTGACTACACCTTAGTCGAACCACACTGACAGTTTACTCTTTTGCAAAGAGTAAAGTAATAAAGGTGGAGCTCTTTTAAATGCAATTATTATACACACTTGTGTGTTTTTGCGACACAGTTACTAAATTCAATTAATTGCCCAACATTCGTTGCATCCTGTGTCGCGCAATGCTAGTAGCTTAAAAATAGTCGCGTTTATGTGAATAAGTCATTTAACATAATATAATAAGGTCATATTAACCTTTTTATCACGAACAATGTTGTTCTTGTTGTGGCTAAATTCACAAGTCGTGCTAAGTCAATTAAAGGGGAAAAAAATAATGTTGTTTTTAAATTGTGACATTGACAGCCACGACAAAAGTAACATTGACGTTTTATAGCTGTTTGTTGACAGATAACGACCGACGTCACCACATGAGGGTCAGAGTTTCACTCTAAATTATCAATTATAATACGGTTGGTTCATCGATATAGACTTAATTTATAGATAATAAGGAGTGCACGTGAAGCTTTTACAAAAGGTGCACGTACGCATTTAGTTTCATTTATACATTTTATTTTATTGGTTATAGCATTACTTTCCCGGTGCTTGATTAACCAGCAACATGGCTCCAGCAGCTCCTGCAGTTAAAACTTTGCCAGAAGATCCTATAGGCATCAGAGCCGTACTTCTCGGACCGCCCGGATCCGGTAAAGGCACTCAGGTAATATTTATTTATGTGATCTTTGACCTCTAGTTTTATACTCACTTTAATATACATGTTACTTATAATTGTTTAATTAATGCTATTTAAACCTTTGATAATTTTGATGTTATGTAACCGCTGTGTGACTTTGTAATGATTTACAATTTGAAGCTTCAAAGATGTTTATGTCTATGATTTAAATTTATGTGAAAAAACTATTCTCATCAAAAAAAATATGGTTTTTAACAGGCACCTCGGCTCAAAGAAAAATATTTTGTTTGTCACTTATCTACTGGAGACATGCTCAGAGAAGAAGTTGCATCAGGCTCAGAGTTGGGTCGTTCACTGAAAAAAGTCATGGATGAAGGGAAACTGGTTTCTGATGAGATGGTTGTAAATATGATTGACAAAAACTTGGATCAACCATCTTGTAAAAATGGTTTTCTCCTTGATGGCTTCCCCAGAACGGTTCCTCAAGCTGAAAAGGTGAGGTTGCCATAGTTTTAAAATAGAAATTTAATACCTTGCCATCCACACAATATTTTTTGGTAAAAACAATTCATGCCCAGATTTTGTCTGCAATAAAAGTTTATAATGATTCAATATTTTTGAATATTAACAATAAATTTTGTCGTTATTTGCAGTTGGATGACCTGTTGGCCAAACGTAATTCTGGACTTGATGCTGTTATAGAATTTGGTATTCAAGATAGTTTGTTGGTGCGCAGAATTACAGGCAGATTGATTCACCCATCTAGTGGACGTAGCTACCATGAGGAGTTTTACCCACCCAAGAAGCCCATGGTAGATGATGTGACTGGTGAGCCTTTAATTAGAAGGTCTGATGATAATGTTGATGCTTTGAAAAAGCGACTTGCTGTATATAATGCTCAGACTGTACCTCTGGTGGATTATTATATGAGGAAAGGTATTCACTGGAGGGTAGATGCAACAAAATCTTCTGAGCAGGTATTCAACAAGATTGATAACATCTTCAAAACTAGGATTTTCTCAAGGCAACAGCAACAACAACAAGCATCCCAGTAACTTAGTGTTTAAGAAAATGTTTTGTACAAATCTTATTTCCATATTACAGTATGTTAACTGTCATTTGTTTAGTTACAAGCTATTGTGAATTATATCACCTGTTTTAGAGACTATTTTTCTTGAACAAATACAGTGAACTGAAATCATGGAGTTGTTTGTTTGATTAAATTACAGCCAGATAAAAGTTTATCAAATAATGTGTTTTACACTAAAATTATTGCTGGGCAATGATAGAAAATCTGTACTCACATAATCAAATTGATAACAGTTTTTGCAATGATAAATGTACAGTAATTATAATTAGCTGTCAACAAGTGTTTCAGATTTTTGTAAACTTCAACACTTTTAGATTTTTGCAGTACTGAGCATAACAACTAAACTATAATATAGCTAAAGAGAAAACTTAGGATACAAAAACAATGATGCAGTTATTTGTGTAGTATTGAAAACAATCCGTGTAACTTATCATGCTTTTGGCTGTAATGCAAACTGAAGAAATAACATAAGACCCATTAGTTTTTAGAACTTTTATTTGTTTTCCACTAAATACTATATATTAATAATTGTTAGAACTGTTATCTAACATAAATGGTTAGTATTCATTTTTATAAGCTCGAAGAAAGGTTTGAAATATTCTTTTTTGTAGGGTTACATAATTAGCTATATAACAATATAATATCCATACAACTCTGCGCAGACTTTCGCATTTTATAATATTCAAATATTGTATATGGTACATAGTTGTTCGTTTATTACTCACCAACATTGTTTTATCTACAATGGTATGGTATAATGATTTATATGATTTGATTTTCTTCAAGTTTCTATTGATTCTGAATAATATTATTGTCTTTATGTAATTTATTACGAGTATATTTTATAGGTCGATGATTAATTACCTTTATTTATACCTATATTATGAGTATTGAATATAGATTAATTAATCAGTAAAATATAATTATCGATATTACAAGTTTGTGTAGTACATACCTACAAAAACAAAAAGTTAGTATGAAATAATACCAAAATGTTGACAATATAACTGTCTATGACAAACAAAAATCGCCTCTAGTACTATTTGTTTAAAGTAGGCAATTTATTTAGAAACGTTTAAACTACAGGTGGTAAAATCCGGTCGATTTATGTCGAAATTTTTAGATCAATTTAAAGGCTCAACAATGTTTTTTACCTATGAATGTCCAGCTACTATAAACCTTTTATTAAAACGATTATACTTTTTAACATGTAACCATGGCTTTACAGATGTCTAAGGGCTAAGTTCAATTTATTTAAATGTAAGTAGGTACTTATGTAAATGTTTATAAAATTCATCACTGGTTAATTTCACAGCCATATTATAATGTTTGCACTTTTTAGGAATAAAAACGTTTATATTTAAATTGAAGTTAGGTATAGAAAGGTCAATGTTGGTAATTCAAAAGACAATATTGGTAGATATATTTACAGTATATAGAGGGTGATTTTTCTAATAAGTATTTAAAGTTTCTTTGAGAAAGATGTTTGTTATCACGAGTACAATAATGTGTTTAAATATCGGTTACTAATTACCAGTCACCCTATAAATAAGAAGTAATTATTAATCTACAAGTTTAAGCTGGACATAGGTTTCCTATATATTTACCTAACAAATGCTTTTCTTGAGATACACAAGTACTTAGGCGTTATGTGACACACTATTATATCAATATGAAAGTATAAGAAAGTTGCAAAAGGATTTTAATAAATGAAAGTCTATTTAAATATGCATGACAATGAAAAAGAAAAAAGCTTAAAGCATTTGATTTTACTCTGATGATATAATAGTAGTGTTGGTGTTTACCTGAAATTCCATAATTTGCTTTGGTATTTTGTTTACATACCAAAACAACACATTATTTAAGGCCATGAAGGGTTATCAGCTACAATAATAATATGCTTTTATGCATGCTCAAAGGAATTAAATAAAACACAAAATGAATGAGCCGATTCAGTGTAATTGTGATCATTTTCAAGTATAAACGTAATTTTATACAAAAGAACAATTATTATATGTATTATGTAGATAGGTAGGTACAATTTATTTATGTGTAGGCAGATTCGATTTTATAATACAACAACAAGATGAAATATTTGGGACAGAAGTAATACATGTAATCAAAAAATATAAAAAGCAAACGAAACTTCATGATATGCTATTATGCTAATTAATAATTGATAGTAAAAATAATTCACGCCGACTAGCAAACACATAGTATTATTAACATTTAGTGCAATCCTCCAAGTATTACACTAGTTATATTAAAATTTCCATATTTAAGATTTCTCATAAAAATACTACCTATAAAGTAGGTACTGTTCGCACCAAACGTTGCATTTTAAAAATACGTAATTATGCAATTTTGATAATAACGAAGGATATGAAAACAAATAACGATTACTTATAAAAATAGACTTGATTACCATGGTCAAAAGATGGTTTTGTTGTATGCAGGTAGATTCATAAAATTTTTACACAAGGGAATGGTAGGTAGGTGAATACATACTAATACTTCCATTGTCTGTCATGGCGAATTGAGACGGAAACACGAATGAACACCGAAAGCTAAACTAGCATCAAATAAATAACTATAATTAAAAATATTCGTAGGTAGGTAGATTATATACAGAAATGATACGATACCAGTCACAGCTACTTAACAACGTCCTATGCCACTATATACTTATAGCTTTGGATTATCGTAACGACAACACGTTTACCACGTTTTGGCTAAAACTAATTTACAATAAAGCTTTTTAGAACAACATTTACATACATTGAAAAATATTTAACAAGTGGAGTCCGGGGCGGTCGCTACTGGTGCTGAAAAACTATCACCAACAAAATATGACTACGAAGAAGACTTATCTATCTGAGGCACTTGGTCTAAAACACCATGATTTGCGGCGGACAGGGTCTTCTAAACATACTCATATTTCAAACAAACCCAGCTACTTCTGACCGAAGGATAAAGATGATAAGAAAAACGAGATGTTATTTCCAAAAGCGGCGTAGACTTCACAGAACTTCGTTTGGAAGCGGTAGGCTGGAGAGTCTAAGTACCGGTCGGAGTGAAGTGACGGTGCGAGACCGCAGCGTGGCGTGCTCAGGCGAGGCCCGCTGCGGCTCAGTGGTCGTGCAGCCGGTCGTGCGAGCGACTCGACGACCGGGACGTCTTGCGCTGGTCCAGGTACGCCGCCGGCGCCCAGCCCTCACCCTGACCACCTGCAGACCAAGACAAGGGATGTTTCACGTTTTTATGATGTTAAGTAATTCATATAAAAAAATAAAACTACCTATAATTCGGGTGAAGCTATCACCAGTCCTTATAGCTTTTATGATTTAATACTCTTCGCAAGTTAGGTAAGTTGTAAAATGGTAAGTAGAAGACGTACCGGCCAGACGCACGTACCACCAGCCGGCGCAGCCCACCTTGAGCAGCTCCGCGTGCTGGCCCTCCCGCAGCGAGACCTCGCTGGGCCCCACGGCCGTGTAGTCTGACAGCGCCACCAGCGCGCACCCCACCGCCTGCCACACACACCACACGCTTTGCTCAGCACAGGTAATACACATCTGCTCTCTCTAGCTTAGTAATTGCTGTCAATGTCAATGTATTAACGAATTCTTTCAATGTCCTAGCTGTTTGTTTGATTTTGACGCATGAGCGTTTTTCTTTGTACATAGGTAGGTAAATATTTTGTCTTTAATCTTTAGGATATGAAAGAATTCGTACCTATAGTTTTTATCATTGGTCAGTTTATGTATTTCATGTTTTTATGTTGATTAGAATTTAGGATCCAATATCTATCAATCAATCAATCAATCAAAATTTATTGTATGTATCTATGTATGAGACAAGATGGAAATGTGGTGTGTTGTGTAGGTACTGTAGTGAGTCTAGCTGTCTCTATTTGTATGACTGTAGCACTCGTATGTACGTAGTAAAGAGTAACACCGTTCATCCTGAACATCGATCGACATGCATTCCGTCACCACTGGTCAAATGAAGAGTTTCGTCAAATTATAATCAAATATGACAAGAGTGGGAACTGTGGTGCACGATATTTAAAAAGTAGGTAGGTAACCTCATTCATATTTGACTTAATTTGACTCCACCTACTGAACACAAACATGCATTTTTTTATTGTATAAAAGTACTTAATAGACAAAAATACCCTTTTGGTATTTCATATCTAGAAGTAGTTTGACGTTTGACCAGACCATGCATGTTAGTAAAGCGGTTAGTAGAACATAAGTTAACACTGATAATATAATTAGTTATAATAAATATGTAATTTAGATAAACGGCGATTGTCCTTGTATACGGTAGATATAGTAGTTATATTTTTGAAAATAGGTATGTATGTATATACGCCAAGTGCTGAATGAATAATACAAGAAATAGACGGGCTTTTACATAGGTAATATATTATATTACTCAGACAAGTTTCAGATATATTATACTAACATTCAAAAACACGTAGTTATAATACATATGATATACATATATACGTCCAAAGTCCATTTAAATTCGAATGCCAAGAATCTAAAAAATGATTTCTGTATTATGTGGTTGACAAAGAATCTTTTCGTAAGTTTCATGTACCTATTTTAATTTATAATTTATCATATTTATGTAACGAAAATATTTGCTGATAAAATGCAACACTGACCTACCCATATTGACTAGATTAACTGTGTAAGTACCTAAATGGGTTAAAGAAAAAAACGTATCTACTTAAATAACTTAAAATACGCATTATATCCCGCCAGATTACGTTAAGTATATGAATTATTAGATGAAGTAAATACCTTATATTTCGTACAATTTATGAGTAGCATTACATCCAGTAGGGTAGTAGTCATAACTATGTAGGTTGTAGAGGAATAATTTGTTAAATATACATTAATTATTCTTTGTCAGCTCATAATAGGTAATCAATTTTTAGACGATATAAATATATACGTAGTATAGTAAGTAACAGAAATAGTGTCACACTGAAGTAAACCAAACATTACACAGTAAAGCCATTTAGTTGCACGTCCAAAGCAGTGGTCAGTGAATGATGCAAGCTGTGATGCCGTGCTCAGCTGTGTCCAATCACCCTACTTTTCTTCTTTCTTACCCTTTCTCTCGCGTTATAGACTGATAAATAAAATATTTTAACGACAGAATATCTGCACAATCTAAGTGTTAATTTATGCATGTTCTAGATAGTGCAGTTCTCATCATAAATGTATTACGGAATTAAATTAACCGAAATATGTGTTCTAAATAAATTTAACGTAATATGTACTTATAAGAAATACTTATATTATTAAATTGTACGTTTTATATAAAATAGCGTTTCCGCAAAATGTTTCATGATACATACTTAAATATAAAATAATATCTATCGACACTGATGGATAACATTTAATCCAAGCAAGCGCATTGTTCAACAAAAAACCAATAAGCACACTGACAATGAGTGATATAACAAACAAAACATGACTTACACGATAGTTAATGTTCAGCGAATACAACCGAAATATCCACGTTCTCTTTGGTTAGATAGTTTAAGCTTTGGATATAAACTCAGTCTCTTTTTCATTATGTACAAAGCCTCTATTGGCTGTATGGTCGCAAACGTAATTATATTCAGTACTGTGACACGTAAAACGTGGATGTGGCTTGTGCGGAGCCGGCCACTGAAAAGAACTGTACCATTCGGTGGATGGTACCGTTGAGACCGACGGCCTCCGTCACCTGTAGAACAACACAACTTACAGCAAGGCGCATTGCACGCGAGACGTGAGGTGCCACGTGACCGTGCACTAACTGCCTAACTTTTCAGTGCTAGTGTCGCTAAATTATTTAAAAAGGAACTAAAAGCGATGATTGCTAACTCAACTTTTATGCTGTGAGGGCGTGAAACCTATTGGACTAGTTAGGACGTTATGATTTTATCGTGTATCGAGAATTTGTAGTATTTACATAATTTACACGACTACATCTAAAAGAAGCAGATACTGCAAATTCTCTGACGATGCGCATGAGCTACCACCGTTGAACCAATACTTTATCCCGTTTTCACAATTCAGATAGGTTATCGGGAAGCATCATGTGCGTGGGGTTGCCAGCGATATCATGCGCTACCCGTGACTATGAGCCCGCATTCCTTTAGAAATACACTTTACACTTACATAAAGAGTGGGTTTCACTTCACTCAACACTGCAAACCCAAAATTAGTTGCATTAATTAAAGAGGCCCACGTTTTAGTAAAGCTACCCCGACACTCGACAGTAAGCGTTACACTATACTCCTATGTTACTGTTAGTAGACGTTACCGAAGGACATTACTGACATTTACTGTGAACAGAAGTTATAATTTATTGACAGGTCAATTTACTTTGTATTACTTCGACATTAATTTCCCAAACCATCACATTTAACAAAGGACAATACAATTTATACTTTTTTTTCAATCTAGTAACGTTGACAATTACTTAGATATATTTCTAATTGGAAGTATTAGTTGACTAAAAAGGGCTTGGGAATGTATATTTTTCAAACAAGTCTCTAGCTTCTAGTCCGCCTTAGTCAACTTAGTTCCGAGATGAAATAGTAGAGGCAATGTCTGATGATGCGTGTGTACGTACCGGCGGGTGTTCGGGCTCGTCATCATCGTCGTCGGAGGGGTCCGTGGACCAGCACGGCTCGTCGTGGGTGTCGCACGACGCAGTGCGCGTCGCACTCGGCACTACGGCGCTCGGCTTTGCTGGCTGGTTACTGGGCGGACCCAGGTCCCATGAGCTCGTTTGAATTAGTGTTCTGGAGAGTATATCATGAAGGTAAGGTACATTAACTACAAGTACTGTTGTCATAGTGGCCCTAGTAAGGCTTTGGTTTGCTGCCCGACGTCGAGGATCCGGTTTGGTCACGGAACAATTTTTGTGCACCAATATAGGATAATTATCTTTGTAAAGTCTGTTCATGCATCATGACTGCACGGTTGGTGCGGTGGCTGGGCAATTGGCTGCCGTGCCACGTGTCTTAGGTTCGATTCTCGCACGGAACAACTCTTTGTGTGATTAACAAATTGTTGTTCCGGGTCTGGGTGTGATGTGTATGTGAAATTGTATGTTTGTAACGACACACGACACAGGAGAAAATCCGAACGGAGGGCAACGTTTTGTAAAAAAAAGTCAGCCACAATTTTGGAAAAAAAGTTTTATCGCATATTGTTGAAATATAATATTCGCAGACGCAGACGATGGCAGTACCTGTGCTGCGCGCTGTACTGGCGCACGCGCTCGCCCTTGAGCTCGTGCAGCTGGTCGAGCAAGACGCGCTTGATGCGCTCGACCCAGGCGCGCTTGACGTCGGCGCTGCCGGCCGTCAGCGTGTGCACCTCGGCGCGGCCCTGCCGCCACACCTCGAACTTGCGCACGTCGCCCTTCACTGACTCCGTCAGCCCGATCTGCGACATCTGCCGCACACACGATTTATTAATTTATTCCAGCATATTCGTAATACAAACACTACGTAGATTAGGTACCTATTTATATACATAGTTTTATCAGTTTCCGTTTGTGATGGTTACAAGCGACGAAATTATTTAAGCTTGTTATTTTCAATAATCCAAATTTTTAAATGATGAAATGAGGTTTAAAACTGACGATATCATTTTTATACACCACCACACCAAACATCGGGATCACGTTATAACAACAGGATAATATAAATGTTGAATTGTAATTACTTACTAATTATTATTGTTATTATAATTTTGCCTACAGGTACTGACCTGCAAATCGTGTTTGAAGTGGTAGGTGGCCTTATTGTGGCTGTTCTTGGTGGCAGGTTTGCAGAAGAGCATGGCCTTCTCGTAAAGGAAGATGTGTCGCCGTCGCGGGCGTATCCGCAGGCGAAGGTCGCGTTTGTTTTCCGATACTACAAGGAATGAACCCTGCATCAGCAACTCTCCTTGCTGACTTAAATCCAGCTGAGGAAATAAAGAAAACGGTGATGATTAAGTATTTGTACTTTGCAATGTTGTAATCCAGAGTTTCGCAGCCAATTAGGGTAGCCGGCAATTAATAAAGGAACAATGGAAAGCTCAGTTTAAATTATGGCGATTCATTCAACAACCCCATCAATCTTCTGAAAGTGGCAACATAATTAATAACCAGGCAATTGAGTTATAACTGTATTGCATGCTGCATCGCAAACATGCATACGTTAATGAGCTACTTAATCTGTTTGTCTATAATGGCATGCTTGAATAACTGTACCTTGATTTAGTTATTCGTTTGCTGTGCACGCTAATATGGACCTTGCAATACGAATATACAATACACATTTATGCTAGTAGAGAGTGGTGTGATTTTTTTTCCTAAATTGATTTTTAAATGTCTCTGATTTGTTTTGTTTATTACTGATGATATTACTGATTTATGATGAGATATCTGCACCTCAGATATTCACGCTACACCTACAATTTAGATCTTAGATTGTTGTTTGAAATTTTTAATGACATGTGTAGTCAATTTTCTAATTCGACGAGGCATACGTTTATGTGCGTCCGTCGCAGATTACTTGTTGAAAGTATTTCAGTTGATTGACAGATGCACGTTTGTAATGAGTAATTAAGTTATACATAAGATTTTGCAATGTTTCTCTCTCTACCTATTTATAGTTCAAATCTATGCTGTAGGTGTAAGTAGCTGTAATATTTATTAATATGAAAACAATGGTAGGAGAGTTTTGAATGTGAGACACTTACAGGAACGCCGGTGATGGCAATTTGATGCATGGAATCATTGACACATTTGAGTACAACCAGCATACAGTCTAGTGCTGATTGGAGCCCCGTCGTCATTGATCCACATTCACTGTACCTAAGTAAATCCTGCAAATTAACATTAATTACAATTTATAATAAATTATCCGTAAAATATGGAGAAACGAAAACATATAAATGTAGAAAATATAACGGTAAATTGATGAGTAGGTAACACATTTACATAACGATACCTATTATTTGGAACATTTTGCTGATATATTTTATGACAAAATTAAAATGCCTGGGGAGGAAACAGCTGAATAGTCGTTATGAGTCCCAAAGGGTCCAATCAAATCAAGGTCTTGGAGGGAGATGGAAGGTCCTAAAAAAGTACCATCTTTGAACTGACCTTAAGTAGCAACTGGTACTTGGTGATCCTCTGTACAGGCTTGAGAAGATAGGCGGCGAGTGGAAGCTTGTGTCCGAGGCGCAGCTGGCACGCCTGCAGGAATAGGTGCGTGTCTACTAGTGTCTCCCGTAACCGCTCCGACCGAGGGATGTTCTGGCAGTAGTAGCTGTACAGCCGGAAGAATGTGTCCCTCTGAGGAAAGCATCAGAAAAAATAATGATGATAATATTGAAGATATTCGATATTTAATATAAAAGTCGTGAATGTGTGTATACCATAGCATTGGGCAATTGAGCAAGTTTATAAACGGTTTTCTTTTATCTATCTCAATACACATACTCATCGTTAATGAAATAAAAAATGATAAACAGACAAAAGGTCGAAATATGTAAAAAATGTAGAACTCATTTATAAGGTTTAGTAAGTAAAATTTTAATTTTAGTAAGGAACATGTTAGGTAGGCTGTTATTTGGCAATACTCCAACATATAAAAGTAAACTGTTCATGAAGGCTTTACAATGTTATCTTGTTATGCAATTAAAACAACTTGATGAGAAGTAGGTAAGTTTGATAACTATGGTAAGTAAACATACCTTTTCAACAAAACACAGGGCAACGAATTCTGTTGCCGATATAGACTTTTCTAGATCCTTTAGGAAGATGTCTTGGTGGAAAGTGAACAATTCGTGCAAGTTCCCAAACAATACATCGGCTTGTCCAACTAGCGCGGATGGCAACAAATGCTGGTTTTCTGGTTTTTCAATTTCGTCTTTGTAACCCTGAAAAAATATAATATAATTACTCATCCAAAATGCACAATTATGAAAAATAGGTAACCTTCAAATTGTTTAAACGATAAAATATTGATCTAAATGTACCGAGATGAGTGATGTACAGTGGCTAATAGTATCACACCAGTCCTGTAGGCGTCTATCATAATCTTCATAAATAGTTTCTAAGCATTTACATTCTGACGGTTGAGTCAAACTCTGATTAATCTTCCAAAACATTGTTTTCTTTTTTAAAGTTTGCAGTGTCGATGACCAGTTGCCGAATGTTTGGTTACGATTCAAGCTTTGAGTTTTTCTTTTATCGTGAATGCTACTTATATTTTTATTGCAAAGTCGTGAAGCGTATGCGTAGCTGTAATGGTGATTGTCAGTTATGTTATTAGACTTGAGACATCTGTTGGGTTTCCGAAATGACAATGTGGAGTGAAGGCTTCGTACGTAACTGTCATTGTTACTGCTACTACTCCTACACATTGTTGATTTTTTTTTACTTCCACGAGTGCAGTGTGAACTTGACGAACAGTGGTCTTTGATAGTATGGTTCCATTCCTTCATTATTCTTTTGTAATCTCTTAGAATATTTGTTAAGATATCCTCAGAGCCTTTGCTACTTTCCATTGTATTTCTTAGTTCAGTACAACTAGATGACTTAAGCTGAGAATCTTGAGAAGATATTGAACTAGAAATATATTCAGGTGAGGATAGATCAACATTTGTGCATCCGTATAAAGGATTCTTTACTAATTCCGGAACATCAAGCACTGTAGGCGCTGTGGTCGTGAGCGATTCGCCAGTGGTGTCCTCTGAAGCAGTGACCGCGTCCGAATCCGGTAAGTAAGTTATTTTTTCCTCACTTTTTGAAGTGTTCTCATAACCAGGTAGTGTCTTACCGTAAAAGAAGTTTCCAGTGAACGGTTCCATATGGACTGGTTTAATGTTGCGCGGGTTATATTTAACACGACCACTTTTTCCCACATCACTCACAGATTTCCTGCACGTTTTGTTTCGAAGCTTCCCTCTTTCAAATAAAGATATTTGGTTAGCGTAATCACTGAACAGAGTGGAGTCAGATGCAGCTCTATGCAATCGTTTCTTCTTCCGTGTAGGAGGGTTCTCATTTTTTCTGTAGTACCACGAGTAGGAAGTTCCGACGCTTAGATTCGCGGAAGATTTATGGAGGTCGTATTTTCCATATTTCATGGTGCAGAGGGTGGCGAAGTGTAACAAGCGACCGAGAGCTTGCACTGGCGTGCAGCTGGCGAATGAGTAGCATGCATTGCGTTCCGCTCGAGAGGCTGACGCAGTCGGTTGCGTGCGGTGCATCCAGTGCACTGGATCGACGTACTGAGCCTGCTGTGCGATCATTGCAGCGGGAGAGACACAAACAGAGCGCACACACCACATACATGGTAGTGACACTATTGTTTTTCAGAGCGAGACGATGCCATGGAGATATGCATTATGTGTTTTATTGGAATTAATCTTCCGTGACCGAAGGCTGATTTGATCTGAATAACTTCTAAATCGTTTGGACAAGTAGCCTGACCCTTCTATTTACATATGATAGGTAGGTACAACAACAAATAAGTGGTTATAACCGGATGTTTTCTATTGCATGGTATTTGGCTGGGCAGTCAGGTATCATTGTGTAATATTATTATGACTTTCATCTATACTCATGGTTATATATGTCACGTATCCGTGGCGTAATTATTGTATTTAACTTTGATTTTAAAAATTCATTAAAGTGGTGTGTCATATCATATAATAGTATCACCGTATTTGGTAGAGCTATCACCACCAGTTTTGCGTTACGTGCTCCTGGCACCAGAGAAAGGCGTGTTTGCTTTCGCTTCTTATTCCAATTTGACACTATGTATGAATATTTAAGAGTGTTCGTTCGACGGGTTAACGGTCTTGTTTTATATATAGATATTTTGGTACATGACGTCATGCGACAAAAAACGTGAGCATCCGTTTAAATGTGTTGCATCCTTTATCACTGCAGCTGAGTCGCAAAAAATTACGGAGCATGTGATTTGTAAGTTGTTGTGGAATTTCATGCTTAATTAACTTTGAGAATATTATTATTTAATTTATTTACTTCTTAGATGGGGGTCATTTCCTATAACATTTACAGGTTGCATCTGTAACTTGATATATGTTGAGTAAGGTCGGATACTCACAGTGAGTATGGAGCCGAGTTCTTGAACGTAGACCCTTTCAGTTTGCAGCAGTTCAGCCAGCACGTGACCTCGACGTGCCTGCCGCGCATCCGCATCCTCTCCACCGGAACTCTCCGACCCTCCGGACGTCTCCATCTGTTGATTATCATAAACAGTTTTAGCTTATTAGTCTTGTTTAGTTTACAACACCTAGAATTATAAACAGAGAGACCTAGAAAACGCAGTAAATATAGACGAAGTCGTCGATATTTAACAATAAAACATTAACAGAAAAATTAGTAACGTAGATATTGAGTGCTACATTTTATATAAATTAAGTCTATTAAAAAATATATAAAAATTATGTAAAGAATAGATTATATTCGTTAAGTATATTTTGATCATTGTACCTAAGTATCATTAATAAACACAAAGATGAAAAAGTATGTTGAATTTAGAACAAAAACTAACATCACATTGCAACCAGCTGATGATCAATCAGCTGCTTGTGTTGTATACAAGATTAAACTTTTTATTATTCAACCATTTTAGTACCAAGTCCTCAGCGAATAGTAAGCACCATGATATTGTAGTAACTTATTCATTGTCATTACTTAAAAATACGTAGTATTCATGTATGAACTTCATTAACACAACATTTATATATCTATGTTAACTGTGCCAAACTGATCTAGGTACTTGTAAAAATCCCATAGAATCTACAATATTAAACCGATTTATATCTGATAATGAAGAGGTTTTCTTGTTCTAAATGTTGATTATATTACGCAAAAGTTTATTTATAGGAATATTTTAGATTAAATTGAAATTTTTTAAGAAATAGGATGAGACACATATCATTTTGTCATTGTTGTAGTTGACGTTAATAAATGAAAACTGAAGTAAATACGGCAAAGGTTAGTATATCTTGTCATTTAGAAATATACAAAGAAGTACCATTATGGCTGTCTGGGGGTGCGATGTTTTATATTTAGGACAAAGTTAAGCGTAAACATAAGTTCGTAATTAGTAAATAATAATATCTAAATTCTAAATATGATTTAATTTACACTTATAGAGATAGTTCTATTAAACACAGATTTTTATTGTGCTTGTAAATCAAGATTCTTTCCTCTCAAGTACCGATAAAATTAAGGATTTAATTAAAAGTAACTACTAAACTTTATGTTCATTAATAAGACGCAATAATTAACTTACAGGTTTGTGTTGTTCTGAAAAATCCTTAACAATTTTATATCCAGTTTTAAGCACAATGTTTAACGTATCCATACTTAACGATAACTATGTTATCACAACAATAAACACACTTATCACTAAAAGCCAATCACTAAGGTATTAAGTCCACTGTGAGGAGTATTGTAAAATAATAACAATTTTAATCAGTTTGTTGAAAATTGTACCCGAGCACATGGTGTCTGTGTCTGTTAAACGTGTGTAAGAATAAGGAACTGATGGCACTGGGCCCGGGATGAGAAGGGGCCGCGGGAATACGTTGGGACCATAAAAAAAGTTGTTGCCTCCACTTTTGTGCAGCGAAACTGGCACGATAGATGCTCTACTTTATTTATACGGCAATAAAAGGGACATCGGCGGCGGCTAGTCGTATACCTATAAAAAAGTTGTCAACTATGTAGTCTCATTTCATGTTTAGTTTATTAATTAGTTTGATGTTGCAGATGTAAATTCATTTAGGTAGATGAGCCAATGTGTTCTTCAAAAGCGCTCGACATTTATGAAGTTTAAGAGGTGTCATACGGAAATAAATCTATTTAGAACTGCGGTTAAATTGTTTACGAAATATAGAGAATTGCATTTATGATATAAAATACAATTTACTGTCGAAATTCATAACTTACGAAATCTAGCTTTATATGTAGAATGGTAAGCTTGAAATTTTATAGGTATTATACCTGTGTGGGTTCACATGCTAACGATTGCGAAAAACAAATCGTAAAATTTGTTCGGGGTTTATTTTTTTGTTTGTTTTGGTTATCTGCTTTTTTACCTTCAAATAACAATTATTGTTGCTTCGTATTAACCAAGACTCCTTGAATACTACCTAAATATAACTTTCGTATTCATAACCGTATTCTGAGTACATGAATTCAGCATAATAGTGCAAAAAATTTTATGAAGGGCAAAATAGGAAATGTTTAAAACCAATTTCCCGAAGTAGAGCAGTGTTCATGATGGTGGAAGTACAACGGTAATAAAGGGCGGCGTGCAGCTACGTGCGCCAGGCATCACTACGCCGAGCACGTTGTATGGCCCACCCGTCTATGTGTGAGTGCGTATACACGCTCTCCACTGGTGTATGTAGGCCACCACCACCTGCCAACATCTTCGTAGTTCTAAGGGTCTCCTTGCTACACGTTTAGAACTCAACGCTATTGATCTCAAATATTTCAAGCCGAGTTCAAGTTTATTATATTCTTTTTGTCTCGTTTCTCCGAAACATCTGTGAATTCTTTTGTTTAGTGTTTGGGTCGTCGGACGCAAGTTTGGGCACGTGCTGGTGGGAATATTGTTAGTTAGTATTTCAAAACAAAAGGACGCGGACGTGACATCGGGAGGAAAATAAATTAAAAGTACTAATTATTGTAGTTTACACGAGGATTATTATGGATTTTAAACAATCATCTGTACATATTGTACTTTGTGAATAAGCGGTCTTGTGCGTTGACCAAGATTAGGAGTAGTAGTTGTAATTTCATTCATATGATTATATATGACATTAGAAATTCTGCTATAAATGAACACTAACAAACTTTTATTTCGTTATTATTTTTTGGTGTTATCCTGGTACTAATTTATCAGGAAAATGCGCACATTCCATCTGTACTATCGTCTCATCCTGCTCTACTTATCCTTGGTATCAATTATATTATTGGAGTTTGGGATGTTAAACGTTATTACTGTAAAACTATAAACGAAACCATCCAAGTTATAACTCAGAAAAAGCCAGTCGCAACTGAATGTCAGAGTCGTTAAATATTATTTAGCGTGAAAAGTCAAGGCATTTTTAAAACCATTATATCAATGAAAGGTTTTGTTGTGGCGGTAACACTACCATAAAAATACAATCTAATCTAGGTATCGGCCTAGACGGTATCAGCCCAAACTACTCCCACGTATTTGATGAAATTTTATGGTAGGCATGTAAAAGGGGACGAGAAATCAATCTAGCCAGCAAAGGGCGGTCATCTAGGTTTACTTTGTTCTTACGTTCTATGCAGGCTATTAGAGGTGAAGGGTTACCTTGACAGAAACACACATTAACCATCAAGTGCGATTTAAATAAGCTTCATAACCACTGAACAAAATGTATATTTTATTAGCAAATTCCAGATTGCTCTCCGTATGTATCTGTATACAACCATGATATCGCAAACCAGATTTGATAAAGTGTAAATGAAAATATGTCGGCTTTATTAATCCTGACCCTCGACAGTAAATGCACTTGAACTGATTGACCATATTATGCGATCAATTGCCGCTCGTCGGCTGTGGGTTGTGCTGACAACCGCTGTGATTCACTGGGGACTTTGTGAACTTATTCCATGTTGCATTTAATTAATTAATATTAAGTAGGTAGGTACACTAATATGGAATCATCATTTAAGAGGAAAACGATACATGAACGGTATTAAAATGTTTTTATAATATTTCGCCGTTATGAGTTTATGACTAATACGTACCTACTCTGAATACTTATATCTACACTAAAATGTATTATATAGTATAATTATAATCAATAAATCATTACATTCAAAAAATCTGAAGGTTAAATAAGTAGTTTTAAGTTTTACTCTAAAGAGAATATAAACAGAAAATTAAGACATTATTTTGTAAGTCAGAAGTCATATTTATAAGTACCTACGGCGTAATATTTCGGAGTCCTCAAAAGCTTAAGATGTAAGCGTTATAAGCATTGAAAAACTGGGATTTTCTTAATAAATTCCCAGGAACTACAGTAGCACAAGTGCGTAGTGTAACTGGAACGCTCTCCCGTTACACCGACCGTTACTGTAATCACTGTTACATGAAGCTCATATTACTTTAGAAGGAATTAAATATATAACACCTATATTCGACTTATATTTCGTAGAAATTCAGATGTAGATGTGACGATGGTAGTAAATTCGTGCTGTGTGTCTGTAAAAATCTACCATAGGTACCTAATATAATACTTATAAATTACTTGCAATACAATACAATGAAGAAATAACTGCAGCTTATATTTTAAAGTAATTTGTCGATATTTGTTATTTGATTGAAATCGCACGACATAGTAAATAATGAATTAATTAACTAAATGTGAAGTAGATGTTTAATGGCTGAGATACTTCTTTGATTTATCTATTTCCTATTTATATAACTGCATGTTGACCTCTATGCACATATAAATCGCACGTTGCCGTTTTACAAATACGTAACTGTAAAGTAAATTATATAAAGCTCTGGTCTTACGATTTGCTTGGAGTTGGGCCATTCAGCTTATTAAGAATTCCTAAACATATATTCGTTGCTAAAACTTTGTTAGTTTTGACTTTGATGTCATTAGGTACCAAAATTACAAAATATTTTGTATTTATTATTAACAGCTTGAATTATATAATAGTCATATAATGCCTACATGGGTCAGTAGGAAACTGGGTTAAAGTGCAAATAAAATGATCGTTAGCTTTAAATCTAGTGATTGATTAAATTTATCTCCGTTCAAATCATATAATTAAATTATAATGTATGCAGTTTTTGACAACGCAATCATTTAAAATTACTTTAAGAAGGAAGATCTAAGCATGTGCTGTCTTAATTTGGCGATAATTAACTTGAACGATAGTTGCTATTTAATTTTCAATTATTTTTATTATTTAACTAACTACGAGATCTGTTTTTATAATGATCAAACTCTAATGATTACGTTATACATATATGCTTTGAAGATACTATTAGCCTACCAACTAAGTTTATTTAATTAGCTTGTGAAAAATGTAAGAAAATTAATCACAAACAGGGATCATACAATATTAGCAGGTAATGAAGAAAATTATACTTTCTTGTCCTTATCGGTTAATCGTCACACGATGTTATCAGAGATATGGAGTGTGATGAGTGTCTGTACCGTTATTATACAAAACAGGAAGGAACTAAGCTTTACCACGCGGATGAGATTATTGATAAAAAATAAAAATCTTGTATGTAAACACGGTAGTAGCGCATGCGACGTATAAACTACGAGAACTACTTATAATATCCAAGTGCATACCTACATACTTAAGTAAATCGATTTTATATTTTCTCACGAACGCTGAAGATAATATTTGGAATTTGATAGAGATGCGATAATAGAGAGATACAGTAGATAATACTCCTAGATGCGAGTAAAGAACAGACACAGACAGCAAAATATGACAATTACGGATGGGTCAAATACATTGAACCGATTAATTTTAAAATTTAAGATCATGCGTATTTATTTGCCACAAGATCTAGATAGACGGTGATCTAACACTTGTTTCGACCCCTGTTTGAGTAATTAGTGTACAAAATACTTTAAATATTTGAGATAAGTTAGTCACAACATTTATCATGAGGAAACACTCACTCCATTTAATTTCCATGATAGCTCTTCTACAACCTGAGCCCATCCCATATGATAACTCTTGACTCTGGGCTGACGCAATGGAGACGAAGATCTGATCTCCACAGCTACTGTAGGTGTGGGTGAGGTCGGTACCCTTGAGAACCCCATATCGACTTTCGTTGGCACTATATTGTTCGTCACTACACTGTGTGATCGTGCTGTAGGCGCTGATGAAGTCATTGTATCATTGCTATTTGTTTAAAACTTATCGTGGCACAGTTGCCCGGTACACCAACATACGAAACTAAGTTTGTGCGCAAAGCAATATAAGATTTGTTTACTGACAAATATCTAAGGTGCATGTCAATAGAGTAATCACATCATTTAGTAATTTGCTATGTAATGAGGTTGAAGTGTAGTTTTCCAGCAAATGCTTGGATAGTTCAGCATATCGTGTAAAGTTTTGATACAAATAACGCCTGTGGGTAATAAATAATAAATTTATAGTTTGTAAGGTTCTATACAGTGGAGAACACATCATATGTTGAGATGTGCCTGTTTAAAAACATAATAGTACACTTAATATGTTTTTTACAGGCAGATCTTACCTATTTGCGCAGAAATGAATGTTAGTCTGTAATTATGTAAAAAATATTTGGTCAGGTGCATCTACAGTTGATTATTTGATCACATGGAACTAAGACATTAAATGGCAATCATCTCACGGATGACGAGTGGTGATATCGAAACTCGGAAATGAATTCAATTGACCTGGATGATGGCTCGTTCATACCGTTCTGCGACTATGTTTTTGTTAGTCTCGATCACGGAGCAATCAAAACAACCGGTCTCGCGGAAACGAGCCAGGAAGTGGGACAGCGTTGTAGAAACTCGAAATTTAATATGCGGACCAACATACTGACGACCTTCAGATTTAAATAAAATGAAAAGCTAATGGCCAAATCACGAAATGAATACTTTCCACTAATGTGGTCCAGATATGTACGCATGTGACAATACCAGGTAGACATGGGTTGCAAAATATTGTAAATTTAAGTCAGAAAGCTTAAGCTTGTGTTGCAAAGGCTTTCTCAGAATAGAATTGAAACATTTTAAAGACGAATCTAAAATTTGTATCGATTTTCCGATTGGTTATGATAGTTGGGTTAAACTGGCGTGTGAATTAATCTTGCCTCATGGCATGTATTCAAAGATCAGTTGCATCATTTACATCATAAAAGTAAGTACATAATTCATTTGAACTATGACCTAAAACGCGCCACCATTAGACTTTCACGGGCAAACGTTTCGGAGGAGCTCTAATGTCTCGAAAGTCAAATTATGCAGGTCGCACAAAATGAGCAAAAGAATACTAGCCATTTATAGAGATCAACCAACCAATTTTTAGGCTGATTGATGAAAGTTATAATATAGTATTGTTTAAAATTAGATGAATCAGAGATAAGAAGTCTCTAGTCTTCTGAAAATATATGTAATTTAATATGGACATTATTTTTGATGAGCAAAAAAAATAGTCATGGTATTTCTCGAAAAGGTATAAATTTACTAGACTACAAGCAATACATATGCACGATCCATTCGCTCTCTTTAACATCATCATACTGCTTCTTGAACTGGTTTCACTTGTTTTTCTATACTTGGACCGTATATATTCATTAGATTCCAGAAAATTTTGTATCCGTCTCATGATATCAACTGCTTTTATAAGTACTTATATATAATAAGGAGATGTAGAACAATAAGTGAAAAATAGAAAGAAATCGTCACAGGTATCTAGTCGAATCGTGATCAGATAACGAGAGTACTTGCTTGACGAACTGGCTACTAAACGTCTTAGTAATTCCGGGTTGACATTTTGCTGGCAGAAAAAGTTCTTGTAACACAGCTTTCTACGGTCAATTGAAAATTACTAATGGACATGCATTTGTGTTTTAGTCACTGTTGCTTAACTTGAACACGACGCAAGCATTAGTGGCGATGGTTTGGTGTTCAGAGTACGACAATCACATCCGTTACTCCCGTGGTTATACCTGGGAGACCGGCATGCATCGAGGGAAATAGCGCCATAAAGTATGCATCTAAAAAGTTGCGGTGCACCAACACATAGTTACAATCCCGTTAGATTCATGACAACAATGGAATTGATACTGCTAAGATGTGCACTACACTAATAAGCTTCTGTAACGCCATAAACAGTTACACTGGGAACTCATTACGGATTCATGAACAGATTTATGTCACTCATAGTAGACAGATCGAAAGATTCACATAAACCGTCATGCATGATCGCAATAAACTTACAACGGTAAACTGACGGTATTGAACGAGTATTTAAATTGATTGAATGTGGGCCGATGATTTTTGAAGCAATTTAACAATTCAATAACGAGTGCGCTGTGTTGATGTAAATAATTGGGAATAAAATATTCAGTCATAATATAATGTAACAGTAAGAATATTTTAGAGACATATACAATGGCCATTCTTCTATAGGTACTCTTAACGATTTGCTCTAAACAAGCTTAACGCGCAAACAAATCTTTGTGTCGTAATAAAAACTAAAAGGTTTTGTAAGCAATGGTGTATGATTAAATTGATATATGTTTAAGTCGAAGCCCAAAAGTTCGAATAAGTTTACTTTCACTTGGACCAACGAATTCCGTTACTAGCGAGAAATCGGAGGTTGCAATTAAACCACGACGAACTGAACGAGTAATTTGTGGAATTGTCGAGTTTTAAACACAGGAAACAAAAGTTTAGTAGATTACTGCCAGACATGAAAGCACGTACAAAATGTAACTGTTTTAATTATTTTTGTTCAAGTTGTAAGCATTCAATGGATTGTTTTAGAATCTTTGTTGGCTTTCATTTTTAGTTTAGTATAACATTTTTATATAAGTATACAATATACCTGCTAAGAAGCCATGGAGAATGTTTAATGATCATAAATAGGTATTTCTTTAAGATGTGTACAAACGTATGTTTGTACGGAATATTGGAAAGAAATAAAAAAAAAAAACAAGAAGATACTGACAGGCATTTTGAACCGAGAAAAGATGCTTGCTAAGAAAGAATTTTTAACCACAGACCGCATCCTTGACGGCCTAGTTGAAACAAGTTGCTCGCCGGCGGACGACAGATGGGATGGGAGGGAGGCTGAGTTTGCCTGGCTATCTCGTAAAGAGCGCCTGAAAGGGCAACGCCCGGCCACATGTAAACAAAAACAATATTAACTCCAGAAATAGAGCTGCCGTTAATCAGGAAAGTGTAGATTATAATTTTAAACGGATTCCAATTATGCGCTCTACCATGCGTGAGATAAACTTAGAAGCTAATGATTTTACAGGAACCTATTTACCTATAACACAACCTCTGTGGTATTTGAGCTCTGTCGCATTTAAGTAGATAATTTTGATATTTACATATAAGAAAATCAAAAATGAATAATTTTTTTTATGTTGATTATACTCAACCTACGTACCTATAATATCTGTTCAAATTATAACTAACTTCGAAACGTAACAAACAGTGTCAAGGCGCATCGGCTATTTATCATCATTTGTCACAGCGGAAACAATGTAAAATATTGTCCTGTTCACTTACACAGTTTATGGATTAATTAGCTACATATTTTGCTAGAACAATAATTATTTATTTGGAGGATGTTACATTTAGTTTAAGATCATTGAAACGTTACCGAGGTCAAACACCGGTAATTATTTAATTGTTAAGTCGGTTTTGTTTACGTGAGTATAATGCGTTTATCAAAAGAACATTGGGAAATAATATAACACCGGTAGTGAGCACGTTATCTGCAAAGCTATGTGTTAATGACGATGCGTGTTTGTTTCTCAAACATGTATTTAGCGTCTCCGACGACGCTAAACAGATCTTTGTTTGTTGTTAGCAAGCACATGCTAACTTACAACGAATACATTTTTCACCACCTCTGTTTTAAGTAGCTTATTTGGTCGTTCTAATGATTAGAGAATTTTAATCTAGTTTTATCAGTAGAAATTTTAAAGAAAGTTACAAAATTGTCGTTAGAGATCAACTGAGAATTAATTATAATGATTTTATTGATCTAGAAACGCAGACAGCAGCCCCGTTCATGTTTCAATTCATTGCGAATATTCACTTTCACACACACTGTAACCCCAAAACTTGTTCACTATAATGCAACTTTGATTGTTACAATTATTATTATTTGGCACTGTTTTGAAATCATTTTAATTCTGAAATTATGTTAAAATTGCTAGTAGCGCACGCGTGCGGTCTGTACCACATCCAGGAAAACTAAAGTATTTAGCTTTATTTTAACTTTCCTCGTTTGACATACTATTTTGGTCTATTTATAAGTGTATCATATGATGTAGCTTTATCACAATTCCATTTACCTTTGATACAAACTTGTTTACTCCCCTGTTAACATTATAATTTACTTATTTTTATTATTTTAAAATTGCATGTTTTTATTTATTGAAGAAATAAGTATTAACAAAGCGCAATTACAACAATAATGCAAAAATTAATTAGAAAATTGTTTTGTACAGAAAGTACGTAAGAAGTAAGATTGATAATATTTTGGACAGACATGTGCCAATCCATTCATCTCGCTTATTCAAAATCGCGTGAGTTATCCAATACATGGAACGTGAAAGGCCAGCATATGGTAATGTGGTTATTAGAAATCAGAAAACTACTGGCTCGTACCGTTTTGACGTGTCCCAGCACGGCACACCGGCGGAACAAGTGGTATACCATCAGAATCATCTTAGAACAAGTTTTTCGTTTTTGTTGTTTCACCAATCAGCTGTTACGATTATTCTCGTTTTTTTATGTATTTTATTTCACTTTTATTATGATTTCTCTTTGATTTTCGCGTCGGCGTTCCGCATTTTTGCAGCACTAACATATGTATTTTATATTTTATGTATTTCTTAATTATTTCAGTTACAAAGTTTATGCTATCTTTCGATGGAAATCATAAGCCCGTATCGATTAACCTTCTTGCACTTGAGGCCATTTTTTCAGTGCAAGTTCAAATATTAGGTACGCATGTTTGAAAATGATGTCAACTTACGTTGGATCATCACGTTCGAAGAGAAAATCTTTAATAATCTGAGTTAACTATAAAACAATTGCTATCATTGATATTTTAAATAACATGACGTCACTAAATGAAAGCAATTGTCAACTAAATATAAGCAAACGATTGT